TATGCACTTGAGAAAAATGTACATTCTGTTATTATTGAGTTGGGTGTTCTATATACGTTTGTTAGGTCCGGTTGGTTTTTAGTGTTGTTCGAGTCTTCTGTTTCTTGTTATCTTCTGCCTGTTTGTCTTGATTGTTTTTGAAAGTGGTGTATTGCATGGGCAGCTGTGATGGCTCATGCCTGTAATCCCAGCACTTTGGGAGGCTGATTTTTTTTTTTTTTTTTTTTTTTTTCCAGCGCCTTAAGGTGGAAGATTAGGTTATTTATTTAAGATCTTTCTTTTTTGAAAGTGTAGGTATTTGCAGCCAGAAAAAATTCCTCTTAATATTGCTTACCATAAATTTTGATATGTTATGTCTTTATTTTCGTTCATCTCAAATATTTTGGAATTTCTCTTTTGATTTCTTTTTGATCCATTGGTTTTAGGAATGTGTTGTTAAATTTCTGCTTATTTGTGAGTTTCCCAGTTAATTTCTGTTTCTGTTATTAATTATTAATTTAATTCCACTATGCTTAGAGAATATATTTTGTATTATTTCTGTTCTTTTACATTTATTGAGATTTGTTTGGCCGGGCGCGGTGGCTCAAGCCTGTAATCCCAGCACTTTGGGAGGCCGAGACGGGCGGATCACGAGGTCAGGAGATCAAGACCATCCTGGCTAACATGGTGAAACCCCATCTCTACTAAAAATACAAAAAACTAGCCGGGCGAGGTGGCGGGTGCCTGTAGTCCCAGCTACTCGGGAGGCTGAGGCAGGAGAATGGCGTAAACCCGGGGGGCGGAGCTTGCAGTGAGCCGAGATCCGGCCACTGCACTCCAGCCTGGGCGACAGAGCGAGACTCCATCTCAAAAACAAAAAAAAAAGAAAAAAAAGGTTTGTTTTTGGTCTGGCGTATAATTTATTTTGGAGACTGCTCTTTATGCACTTGAGAAAAATGTACATTCTGTTATTATTGAGTTGGGTGTTCTATATACGTTTGTTAGGTCCGGTTGGTTTTTAGTGTTGTTCGAGTCTTCTGTTTCTTGTTATCTTCTGCCTGTTTGTCTTGATTGTTTTTGAAAGTGGTGTATTGCATGGGCAGCTGTGATGGCTCATGCCTGTAATCCCAGCACTTTGGGAGGCCGAGGTCGGCGGAACACCTGAGGTCAGGAGTTCACAGCCAGCCTGACCAACATGGAGAAATCCCATCTCTACTAAAAAAAAATACAAAATTAGCCGGGCTTGGTGGTGCATGTCTGTAATTGGGAGGCTGAGGCAGGAGAATCGCTTGAACCCAGCAGGCGGAGGTTGCAGTGAACCGAGATCATGCCATTGCACTCCATCCTGGGCAATGAGAGTGAAACTCCATCTCAAAAAGAAAAAAAAAAAGGCCAGGTGTGGTGGCTCACTCCTGTAATCCCAGCACTTTGGGAGGCTGAGGCAGGCGGATCATCTAAGGTTGGGAGGTCGAGAACAGCCTGACCAACATGGTGAAACCCTGTCTCTACTAAAAATACAAAAAAATTAGCTGGGAGTGGTGGCACATGCCTGTAATCCCAGCTACTCGGGAGGCTAGGGCAGGAGAATTGCTGGAACACGGGAGGCAGAGGTTGTGGTGAGCCGAGATCGTGCCATTGCACTCCAGCCTGAGCAGCAAGAGCAAAACTCCATCTCAAAACTTACTTCTAGAAATGTATGCTAAGGAAATAATCAGAGAGATACACAAAGACTTTACAAGGATATTTAGTCTAGTGTTATTCCTATAATAAATAACAAAAATTGGAAGCCACTTAAATGTTCGTACAGCAGAGGAAGGGTTAATTAAATTCAAAGATATCCATTGAAGAAAATATTTTATTGCCATTAAAATAATGTTTAAAATATATTGGCTCAGCTG